AATTAGAAAACTTACATTTTTACTTGTCCCTGTAGTAAATGGTAACTTAAGATGTACCCAAAATATTTCCCCCAGACTGCTTGTTGATTGTTACTTTCTTCTCAAATTAAGAATTTATTTTTTATTTTATTTTTTATTTTATTTTTTATTTTTTTTTTTATACAGCATTACCTTTGTGTCAATATGGATACTATTGTTGCAAAAAAAATTTTTTTTTGCTCAATTTATCAAGTTTTAAATCTTTAAATTCTGTATTAATTTGCAGCAGTTAAGTAATGTTAAATAAAAATTATATTTACAATCATAACTAGAAAAGCTTACATTTCAGCCCTCCCCTTGTTTTAAAAAATTAAAAAAAAAATTTGTGTATAAATGTGCTAATTTTTGTAAATATCAACATTCGTACATATCAGAACAAGCTTTAACTATAGTAGATTTAAAATGAAAGTACCTAAAATTCAATAAAACACTTAAATTTTTAAGATTACTGGGTAGTTAATAAAAAAAATTATATAAGACATTCTTATATTCAAATTTTTACAGATATGCTCTTCCCCCATAGAAAAATTTCCAAACCTAAGTCTGACAGTTGTCAGCACCTCATACCCCCCATGCCCAATTAAATGCTTTTCTGTGACTTTTAGCCCAAAATAATGTTCCAGATCCAATCAAAATTTAAATTAATTTTCCTCAAATAAAGTTTCAGAAAAGAATCTTTTATTTTTGAAAGATTTTTAGTAAAGCGAATTGTTAAATATGGCTAAAATCTTTTTTCTTTTTTTTTTCTTTACACTACTATCAAGGAGCTGCCAGCTTCCTCATTTTGTTTAATCTCCACTTTGGAATTTTGGGTGTTACTTCAAACAAAGAATTTTTGCATCCCCTCCCCATTTATCAAGTTTTTTGACACCTGTCATAACATTAAATTTTCTCCATACTAAGCAAAGTTAAAAATGTGTTGTAATATCAAAGTAATTATCATGTATACACCTTACCTAAGGTTTAAAATGGAGTTCTAAAAATAAGTTCCTGAAGATTTAATATTATCTAAAGTTTCAAGCTAATGGAAAATAAAATACTTTTCTGAAACTTTGAGGGATATTGATTTGAAACAAATATTACTTTTAGTTTAAAATCAATCTCTCTCTCTCTCTCTATATATATATATATATATATATATATATATATATATATATATGATTTAAAATTTACTGTAGTTATCACTTTTTGATAATGTGTGTAGATGTTGGTATTTTCAAAAATCATACACACATACAAAAATTCTTTTAAAAAATTGTCACTGATTTGTAACCTTTTAAATTAGTAAATGTTTTTAGTTAATAACATCACCTAACCTCTACAAACTAATACAGAAATTTAAGATTTAAAATTTTATTTTAATTAAAATTTTATGAAAATGATACTTGTAAAAATTCATTATTCATTGAAAAACTTTCATAAGATGATAGTGTCCATAATATCTTATTCTTAATAGCAATTAAAAGCTTTTCTAATTAAATGTCATAGTTATTGCATTTATTTTGCTATTTCAAAAAGATTTTTGGTAACTGGGCTCCTGAATTACAAGAATTTTATTTAAATTCTCCAAAGAGTTCTACATGTAACTAATACAAACATTGTGATACAAAAATCTCTCAATTTCATAAAATGTGGGGGTAACTAAGATTAAAAAAAAAAATTGAATAAGTACTGAAAATTTCAATAAAATCCACCAATTATGGGATTTTTGATTCTTCTGAAAAGGGTTGAAGAATATAATTTAATCAAACTTTGGTAATTAGATTTATTTGGGACATTCCTTATCATTGATATTTTAAGCTAATCTGTGAAATATATGCTACATCTTTGATCTTCAGCTTGTTTTTAATAGCAGTCCATTTGGTAGTATGGCTTTTAGATTGTTTAATGTGTGTAAATTATTTCACGTAGCCTTCCCCAAGCTACTGGAATTTTGGTACATACCTCTTGGCAGAACTGTTATGAGTTTAGCTTGTAGGCTTTCTTAATATTTTTTTCTGCCCATATATTTCAGGGTTTTATAATGCTCACTTCAATACTTTAAGTAACTTTTGCCACATTACAAGTATATTTGAGGTCAGTGTTTGAAAGATTCATTTGTAACCAACCTTTCTGGCTGGTTTTTTTCTCTTCCAACAAAACATTTCAGTCTTATGTGCAATTGCAAATTTTAGTCTGGCTTTGTTTTATTTTCTTAATTTATGGTTTTTGGTGCACTGTTGCTGCATTATGCATCTGAAGTCAATATGGTACTTGTCTTTTTGTAACTGCTTCCTTCACCAGCATCTTCAAGGTTCTGTTGTTCTGGGTTTGATTAGTGCTCCCCCCCCCCAACCAATGTCTCTCCTTTAGAGGATATGTGGGTTCACCTTTTTCTTACCCCCCCCCCCCAATATCAAATACAAGGTTTGCGTGTAAACCTTAAAACTACCTATGTTACATTCAATAGGCTCACATGTTAGTTAGAATCTTCTCTCGCAATACCATCTTATGAAATATTCCAAGTTCTTCAACTGAACGGCCATAGTGTATATCAGAAACTAATGAAAATAACGGAAATGAATCCGCCGAATTTTGCATCTTGCTCTCTTTTCTCAGGTCACATTGATGGCTACAGAGTGAATAGAAGTGAACTTTCTCTTTTAATAAAGTTTTTCTATTTCTATAGTTTTTTTTTTTTTTTTTAGCAGATCTTAGAAATCTGATCTGAGTTTGATCCTTACCTTACTGCTTTGTATTTGTAGTTTTATTTATGTGTGTATGTATAATTTGTACGTAGAATCGTTTCCTGCTCATAAAACCTTTTTGCAATTATCACTGAGAACTGTAGACAAATGGAACTTCAATAGCCAAGCTCTGCTAATTGAAAATGTTAATTTGAAATACGATGTTTGAAAAATGAAATATTCGTCAGGTAAAAAATTTTTAACCCGACTCACATTTCTTACATTTATTTATTTCTTACATTTTTTTCCCCTAACATTTCTTACATTTTTTAGTCTTTACTAAAAAATACTTTCGAATAGAGGACGCTTGGCAGCTGTAGATTGTAAATGTAAAAATGTAAATGAAATTCACCATATTGGGTCAGTATGTCATTGCCTTAAAAAACCGGTTTTAATATGCAATTGATTCACTCATTGCTATGAATTACAAATAGTACTTGTTACTAATGTAGTTCTTTTGGTTCCTCGTTCCCTTTTGTCGTGTATTTGTTCCGTTGTCCTAAACTTTTCCGCTTCTTGGTAAGCATTGCCTTGGAAAACTAAAAAAAAAAAGTCACTTCACTTTTACTCTAAAGTCTTTCTTTGTAAGTTCACTTTTTTTTTTTTTTAATTTAGTTTTACTTCATTTTGCTGTTAACTAAAAGTTAAATTGTGAACATACATGAAATGTAGTAAAAAAAATGTTAAGTTTATAATCCAGGTAAAATTTACAGCTGAATCTGATCAAAACGATTTGTACGTATAAGGAGGGAACAAACAAAAATGCCGTTGAAAGTAAAAATCGTTATTTCTACAAATTATCAGGCGTGACAATCGTGTATAATAATAAAAGTTGTTTTTTTTTTTTTTTTTTTTTTTGTGCGTTCCATTTTATTAGGATATGTAATATTTTTTTATTTTATGAATTTTTATTGGAATAAGTAAAAAAAAAAAAAAAAATATATATATATATATATAATAAACAACTTTTTAGTAGTTTTCTTTTTTAAATCCTCCAACAAATTTATTAGTACTTAATCGTAGGGGCGGCGACCAAACCAATTGTAACTTTATATGGGGTTCTAACGTTTTATTGTCAAGTCTAGTTGTCTAAAATATCTAACAGTGGTCAGCTAATAAAAAAAAAAATAAAAATAATTAGCATTAATGGTGGTGGTCTGCTGCTGGTTGTGCCTACAACAATTTTAATAATCAGCAGCGTTGGCAATGAGTCACTCGATAGCAGCTGGACTGATGAACCAGGAGCAGCCACCTTTGCTGACGGGGACTGAAAACTTAGCAACTAGTTTGAATGAAGAACGTCTGCTACATTTTAGCCTCTGACTCATGCCCACAAAATAGCAGTTATTCTGTTGTCAAGTCCTTAGCTCTTATTGCTGCTTTTAAATTTAGCCAATAAAATAGCATTTTCCCTTCCAATTCGTTATTTATGCCCATGTTTGTCATGCAATTTAATGTGGTTTGAAAATTTGTGGCTTCTCTATATGCTGTCTGAATAAATTAACCTAATCACTAAACAGCTTTTGATAGCTAGTTTTCAGGTAAATCTTTGCATTAAGCTTGCCATCTGTAGCAAGTCAACTGCTACTTTCATATATTAACTCTTATTGAACAATTAAGATAATTTCTCTTGAAAAAAAAAAATTAAAATGTCTCTTTACTTTGATAAAGAATGCCATGATTTATCTATAAGTAGCACATTTTCTCTTTCTGAAATGTTTAAAAAAAAATTTCATTGTAAAAATTAATCTTTAAATATATAGTTTGTAAATTCTTAGTAAATAGTTGGTACTTTGTAGATTAAGAAAAATTTGAGGTCTACTTCATGACTAACCTTTCAAACCAGAATAACTTTCTCATCAGGAAATTGGTGCAACACTAAGGTTTATTAGGTTTGAACTATTGTTATGAACAATAGTTTGGCAAAGAACTCTCTGGCAATCTTCAGGTGTCCATTATTTTGGCTGATAGTTGCCCTTTTCTGCTGAATGAGTCCATCTCAGTAATTAACCCAGGGATTAAACTTGTGGCTGCTAGATAAAGCAATACTTCATTAACCAATGAATATGTCTGGTTTGTCTCTTAGACTGTTTGTGTTTCCTCAACTCAAATCACCATGGTGGGAGGAGTGGTTTAATTTTAAAAACTGAATGTGTGAATGAAATGAACATGTGTATATGGCTCTTAAACTAATGTATTATCTTTTTTCTTTTTTCTTTTTTTTTTTTTTTTTAGGGTTTCGTACTTGGGATGTGGAAACTACTGGAGTTGATATCAATGAAGAAGTTTCCAAGGTTGTGTCCAATGCGAGCCTTGGAGAAGAAGGGCCCTATGGTTTGTATCTTATTTGATTTAAACCTTCTACAAACATCATGGTTACATGCTACTACTTTCTCCTCTCTACTCACGCAAACAAAAGCCAAACCAAGAATAGTTTTATTATTAATGAAATAGATGCTGTATATAATGTCACCAGTGCACTGGGCAGAAAATCAGTTAAATGTTCTGTTTTAGTCAGTCCAACTGGTCAGTCTTTGAAAATAATTCTTAGGTTATTGATGTAGGAGAAAACCCAGTTGTATACACTAAAGCCCTTTTTCCATTTCTCTGTGAGACAAAAGAAAATACTACTTGCTATTGACTAGAAGATCCTCCATTAGATGAGAATGTGTAGGTTATATAAAAGATGGCAAACCGATACTTTCAGTGAATGTAATTCCAAACCCTATCATACTGGTCAGAACTTTTATGGCCTGAACTGAGAGGTTAGGTTGAATCTCATGTGCCTGGAATCCTGACTGATGAATTCTCATTGATAGAAGATTGAATAATGTGATGAAAATGAGCAGTTTGGTTGCAGCAGTAGAGAAGAAAAGAGTTCTGTTGTTTGACCCTTTCTCTCCCACAATTTTTTTGTATGCTGTGTTTTCAACATGGAGATAAGCTGTTATGTGAAGAGGGTGGGTAGCTGGCTGACCTGCTAATGTCCTATCTCCTCTCCATCTTGATTCTCCAAGAACAAAGGCCTCTTATGTCCCTGCTCCCTTTCCTGAACAAAATTAGTGAGCAAAAAAAAAAAAAAAAAAATCCGGAAATAGTCTTATTCATTCAGTCTGTGATGGACCATTATAATATGATTGACCTTTTTATTTTAATTTATATTGATTATTGAATGTTCATGCTCACAAAATGATTTTGTAAATGTCTTGTATCTGAGCAGACCTTCATGGCAACCTTATTGCTTTTTTTTTTTTTTTTTTTTTTTTTTTTAATCCATTATTCTCACACAGTGAATATCAGCTGAAATGGATAAGTAACAAACTGATTACTTGAAATTGTAGTTAATTTACAATGCATTGCTTTTTTTACCTTTGTTTTGTATTTTATCATAAAGTAGTTTCTAGTAATCTTTTTTAAAGTGTAAAAATCAGAGACAGGTATTATGTGTAAAGTAAAATAAATGAGTATCTAAATTTTAGACATTTAAGTACTTAAAATTCTGGGGACAAAATATTATAAATAACTTGTTTAATGAAGTTAAACTTGGTTCGCTTCATTGTTCGCTTTTCTTTTATCTAGATGAGGTGCTATGTCTTGGTTGAAAATAGACTGTGAAAATTGAACTGAGGTCCTTCCCATTAAATTGATGATTTGCAGTGCACTAAGTAGTGGGAGATTCTAGAAATAATGTTGGCATTTATCAGACACTAATATAAGAGTTGCCATAATTTAATGCTTCATCTTCTGTAATTTGTAGAAAGTATAGATGTACATTAATTTTGATAAAATGTTCATGGCTGCAGAACTTTATAATAAAGGCATACTAACAAGCTGTGTCTAAGTGGAATGATTTTATTGCATAATGCAGCCTCCATACATGCTAAATTAATACCTTGTTAAATAAACCATTCTAATTTCTTTAGGTTTCTCTCTGCAATGTCAGATAGAAAAATCTATGATTTGCTCCTAGTATGTGAAATATATAAAGAATAGATTTTATTTAATTCAACATTTGTATTACTTCAAATGTTATTTTTAGTGTCTACACTTTTGAGTAGATGCTGTTTATTTTAAATAGTATTTATTTCCCTGCATACTTGAGAAAACTTAGAAATGTGCACTCCAGCAGGACTCTAACATGTTCCTTGTTGTAGGGGGGGGGACTACTGCTTGCTCTGGCATGCTTTACCAATCAGCCACAAGACTTCACAGTAAACAAGCCTCTTTTTACCCTATTTAAAGATAGCATCTCTCCTCTGTGGAGATTATTTTACTAGAGATCCCATATCTGCTCAGTTTCATATCCAAAATGTAAACAAAGCAATTTATAAAGAATTGGATTTATATTTAATCTGACTTTTTTTTTTTATTACTTGAGATTTTATAAAGGTGTACACATATTTTTACTAAGATTTTTTTTTTTTTTTAAATACACAGGGCTGGCTGTGATGCACATCATTTAATAAAAACGGGGGTGGGAGGTCTTTCACACACACACACACACACACACACACACACACACACACACACACACACACACACACACACACACACACACACACACACACACACCTCAGAAAATGAACTTTCTGACCTTGTCAATTCAGAAATACTTTAAATACTGATATTAAATGTTATATTTTATTAGTATCTTCATTTTTATATTTTTACTGATCCATTCTTTATTAAACTGAAAATAAAGAAATGGCTTCATATATCTGATATTAAAAATACTGTTATCAAACAATGCAGCATCTGATATAATTGAGGGTTGCTATAGTTTAATGTGAAAACGGAAGTAATTTAATTTTTTTCCTTAAGCATGAAACTAAGAAACTAGTTAACTTGATGTAATTACCTGTTGATTTAGGTTTGTCTGAAAATTCATATTTCCATATTAAATTTTTTAAATATTTCCAATGTATTATGAACATGATATTCACTACTAAAATGCCATGTGAAATGAGAATTTAGTTTTTGTCTGGGATAGATATTTGACTTGGTATTTTACCCAACATAATAAATATTCATACAAAATGTACTCAACAAATAAAAAGCATAAAGCAGACATGGAATGAATGGGGCATGTTTATTATTAATGAACACTATTTGATATTGGATACAATAAATCTACATATGGAGAATGCAGTGGAAAACATTCTTGCATGTTATTTTTTATTTTTTTTATTAATATAATCTTTATAGAATGATTTTGAAGTATCCAACTAATTCCTCTAATATCAATTTTTTTAATTCCTTTTTGTATTCCTTATTAGTTTATTTATTCCAAATATTGAATATGTAGACATTTTGTTTTCCTTACTTAACAGTCGACTCTTTTGGACCACTAAAATCAGGTAAGCTTAGTCAGCTACCATTGTTTTCCCTTGTATTTTTTTTTTTTTTTTTTTTTTTTTGCATGTCGATAATGGATCATTCCTCTCCAAATATGGATATTATCCATATAATTTTTTCCTTTTGTTAACCCTCCCAGATTTTATTTATTTTTTATTTATTCTTTTTTTGTTTAGTAATTTGTCAGATGAGTGAAATTGTTTAGTCAGTTGCATGCTATCAATTTTTTTTTTTTTTTTTTTTTTTTTTTTTTTAAATAAAATTATGTTGGAAGTCTGTTACTCACTTATTCCTTTCTTTCATCTGAGCTAAATGTTATCAGCAATTGTGTTCAGCCTCTTCTTGTATACATTCTAAATCTCCTTTGTGTTGTCTACCTGCACATATTTAACCTTACCACAGATTTTCCGTCTTTTTTATATATATATATATATATATATATATATATATATACACACTCACATTGTCTTGAAAGAATTTTTTAAAAAAAGGCATTTTAGTACTACTTTTATGATCATGAAATCTATATATTATAGACATGAAGCTATTGTATGGTGGTCTAGTATACCTCTTGTGTTTAAGGCATAAGATTTTAATTTATAGCTGAAAATGAAACCTTTTACTTATCAGTCTTTTATCTCTGTACTGGGCTCTAAGTACTGTAGATGTTTTGACTGTTAAAACCAATGATTTATTTAATATCATTTCTTGGACTTCTGTCAACTTCCCTGAATTTATCAGTCCTAAACACTTGTTTAAATTTGTTTATCTTTATGAATAATAAAAATTAAAAAGTACTTACCCTTGCCTATAGGGGAGGGGGCATTTTAACACTTAGTTTTCTAACTTAGGGTACTAATTAACATTATGAAATAATAATCCAATTTTTTTTTTTTTTTTTTTTTTTTTTTAAATAAACTTTGCAACAGTATTTCTTATGGGAACGACTATATGGTATTGTCCTTAAAACTATTGGTGAAGATGTATATTTTTTTTTTTTTTTTTTTTTTACTTATATAGACATACATTAGTGTATATTAAAAAAATTTCTCGCCAGTTTATTTTACACTTGGGTATCATTTTCAATTTGGCATTCTCAATGTCATACTGCAAAAGGGATTTTAAACTCAGATTATACAATTTTATTCAAGTATGTTGCTATGGCAATACAATGAACACTATAGTGTTATGTGTACTAATTAGTTTGGTAGTGTATATCATCTAAATTTAATTTTAGAAGACTAGAAAAACCAATTAAGTCATATAAAGAAAAATTAGCAAGTGTTTGATTTCCTGGAAGACTTCATTTTTTTTTTTTTTTGTCAATTCCAGTTGATAAAAACTTGTCAACTATTGAAGGAATTTCTCTAAAATTTTTACCTTCTACTACAGAGTAATAAATTTTGCAATATCTTAAGCTTTTCATAGGTAAAAATAATTCTGAGAATTTTTTAGTTCATCTGATAAAGAAAAACATGCTGAAGCTTAACTACCAAATATTTTAATGAATTGGTATTAATGTCAAGGGGATAGGGCACTGAAAAGTTCTTAATATTTCCAAGAAGAGATATCAGTCTTATTTGGCAAAACTTTTGGAAGTAATTTAAGCCATGCTCTTTTCAACATTCTCATCCAAGGATTAGAACATTGATTAGTAATTTTACTTATTACCTAGCACAAGATAACCTTTTTTTTTTTTTTTCTTTTCAACTTAAGATGTGTAAAATATGACTGTACAGTTTCATTTAAATTCATATGAAATTTAGAATCTTTGAGACAGCCATTACTTTTTTTTTTTTTTTTTTTTTTTTTGTAATTTATAAATACTGAAATTCATAAACAAATTTGAAAATATTTAAGTTTGTAATATATGCTGTTTTGATTTCTTAAAATTTGAAAACCCTTGAAAATGAACATTTGAAGATGATTTTATTGAATGTTTTTATAACTTAGTTCGTAACAACTTTTTTTTTTTAATAATTAAAGAACTAAATATGTCATTTTAGTGAATTGTTTAAATTGATTTTTCTAATTTCATTCATAATTTTTTTTTTTTTTTTTTTTTCAGGTGAGCGGGTGATGAGTAACTGCACAGGTACACTAAGTATTGAAGTCTTAATAGCCCCTCAGACTACTACTGTGAAGAGAGCATTGAAGAACTTTCTGGGAGCACCTGTCAAATACCATCACCTCATTTATGCTGGCCATGCCCTACAGGGTACTGGAGAATGGATTTTACAAGATGATACTTTCACTTTTGGGGATTTTGCAGCCACTTTCAAGGATCCTGATGTTGAGAATGCTCTCAAGCAACAGGAAGAAGCTGTTTTAAACATTCACTGTTTTGCCACTGGTGACTGGAATAATGCTAGTCTTTCTAGGGTTGGAACTAAGGTTCTACAGATTAACTTGAATCCAGAAGATAAATTGTCAAACTTGGGTGGGGTGATGCAATTTAGTACATACTTGTGCAACTTTGTGAAAACTAGGTCACTTAAAGAGATGCTTAGATCATCTGATGTTGTTGGTAATATAAGATTCAGTAAGCCAACACTGTATGTGTTTCCTGGCTGTCAGGGAGACTCTGCCTTGTTTGGGATCAGTGGTTTCAATCTTCTGGTTAATGGTGGCTACAACAAGAAAGCTTGCTTCTGGGATTTCACCAGACATCTAGATCGCATTGATGCTATGCTACTGACACACCTTGGAATTGATAACATTTTTGGTATGAACTCTGTATTGCAGCGTAAAAGTATTGAGAATGTTCATCCAGAAATTGGTCATGTGTATTTCAATGCTTACAAGGGAAGTCGTAATTCACAAGATGAAGTAGAAACTGAAGGAAAACCCAATAGTTTACTTGTAAACCTTGCTGTTGAAGGGGATAAAATAGTTGATAATGTCCGCTCACTGGGGCAAACTCCAAATCCCTGCTACAGACCAGCAACTGCAACAACAATTGACCCAGTAAACTTGTACCACAAAGTAGGACATGGTTCTTTGGATATGTACATCTTAAACCCAGTCCAAGACAGCAAAGAACTGAAGGAGTTCTATCAGCAGTGGAGCAAGCAATCTATACAGAATAGCAACTCTCCTCAGTTCCCACTGTCTAACATGCTGTCCATTTGTACTCTTCTTATTTGGAGACCAGCAGATCAAACTGAAAACATAACTCGTATTTTCTTCCCAGGAAATGCTCCACAACACAAAGTCATTGAAGGACTGGAAAAGCTCAAAACTCTGAATGTCCTCAAGGTCCCTAAGTGCTGTGATAAAGAGCTGAATGCTCCAAAAGCTGCTCTTAAGAAATCTGTGCCCTCAAAAACATCAACTGCATCAAGAGCCCCTTCAAAATCTGCAGTCTCTAAAGTTGAAGCCCCAAAGCGTGAGAGTAAGGTGGATCTGAAGTCCAAAGCATTGGCACCAAAGACGAACAAGGTGTCAAAGGAGGACACTAATAACAAAAAGGCAAGCAAGACTAAAGAGAAAGGAGACAAGCCAAAATCTGCTGTATCCAGATCTCCTAAAACCTCTCCTCCAACTGAAGTACCACCCTTCTCTTCTCCTGCACAAACTCCTGCTGCAATTCCTGAACCAACACAAGTAATGAAGGAATCACCACCAGACTTGGTGCAGAAGGATAACAATCTTCTTGTAGACTTTGGATCTGCACCTGATCAACAGTTGCAGCAGCAGCAGAACACAGCTCCAGCATCTGACACTTTGCTTGATCTTATTGGACATTCATCAATGAAGGCTGAATCTGAGCAGTTGTTAGCTTCAGATCCTACTTGCTTCATGAACAATCAATCACCAGATCCTTTACCTGATCCAAATTATGTTGAACATGATACAATTAGGGAACCAGAAGGTCAGCTCAACAGTGGACTTAATCCTAAAGAGATGGAAGACATGGGCATTTATGATGATGACCTGATGGTGCAAAGAGAGCGATCAGATGATGCTGTGGAAGCTGATAAGCTAGTCTCTTCTAGTTCTGATGATAAAGGGTTTGAGGAATATGAAGAAGAGGTTCAACCGGAATCCTTGCCAGAACCTGACCTAATTATGGGCAGCCAACCTTTGCAATATGACATGCCAACTCATGAATTTGGAGCTAAATTAGATTCAATGAAAATGGATGGGGATATGTTTCCTACCCGTGTCAATGTATTGCAAGATGACTTTTCAAAAGAATCTTTGGCAGAAGAACATTATTCAAAAGAACCCTTGGCAGAAGATGAATCTGACTTAAATGTGGGACAACCACCCATGGCGGAAGTAGAATCCTATTCAAAGGAAGAACAACTCATGGCAGAAGTTGAATCCTATTCCAAAGAAGAACAACTCATGGCAGAAGTAGAATCAGATTTAAATGTGGGACAGCCACCCATGGCAGAAGCTGAATCCTATTCAAAAGAAGAACAACTCATGGCAGAAGTAGAATCAGATTTGAATGTGGGGCAACCACGCATGGCAGAAGCTGAATCCTATTCAAAAGAAGAACAACTCATGGCAGAAGTAGAATCAGATTTAAATGTGGGGCAACCACCCATGGCAGAAGCTGAATCCTATTCAAAAGAAGAACTCATGGCAGAAGTAGAATCGGATTTAAATGTGGAACAGCCTCCCATGGCAGAAGCTGAATCCTATTCAAAAGAAGAACAACTCGTGGCAGAAGTAGAATCGGATTTAAATGTGGAACAGCCTCCCATGGCAGAAGCTGAATCCTATTCAAAAGAAGAACAACTCATGGCAGAAGTAGAATCAGATTTAAATGTGGGGCAACCACCCATGGCAGAAGCTGAATCCTATTCAAAAGAACTCATGGCAGAAGTAGAATCAGATTTAAATGTGGAACAGCCTCCCATGGCAGAAGCTGAATCCTATTCAAAAGAAGAACAACTCATGGCAGAAGTAGAATCAGATTTAAATGTGGAACAGCCCCCCATGGCAGAGGCCGAATCCTATTCAAAGGAAGAACAACACCTGTCGGAAGTTGAATCTGATTTAAAAGAAGAATCTCAGCCCATGCCAGAAGTTGAATCCTATACAAAGGTGGAAGAAGAACCCATTGCAGAAGTTGAATTTGATACAAAGGAAGAATCCATTGCAGAAATAGAATCTGATACAAAGGAGGAGGAAGAACCCTTGGTAGAAGAAAAACCCTTGGCAACTGAGATGGCTGATCCAGTTGAGAGTATGCCAGAAGAATCACTATCACCTGATAGCTTTGAACATGACATGGACAAAGATGCATATCCTCCAATGGATTATGAGCATGAAAGAGATGAATTGCCTGAGGGTGGTTTTGAGCAGGATGTGCACAATAGGGATTTCTCACCTAATGCTGATATGACCAATTCTGTTTATGGTAACCTGATGGCGCAAAGTGTCCCTTCAGCTGAAGCTTTTGAACAACTGCAACAAGAGTGTGCCGAAATGGAAAATAGAATGCATGAGAGTTCCTCCCAGGAAGATTTTGAGAGTCAGCAAGAAACCAAAGAATCCTCTCCGGACTCTGAGAGGTCATCTCCAGACTATGAACCAGAAGAGGTAGAATCTCCAGCATATGAAGAAGAGAGTCCTGAACCAGTGAAACCAGATGAATATGAGGAGGATTCCTCTAAACATGAAGACCAGGAACGATCTAGCCCCGAGGGTTTTGATGATGAGTACGAGAGAGATGACGAATCAAATGAAGAACCTGAACAAGCTGCTGCTCATGAAGAATTTGATAAAGATGAAAATAAAGAGAACAATGGTCCAGATGTTGATGCTCAGGGCTTTGACATGCATCATTCTGATAGTGGTACTGCATTTGATGAACAATCAGATGATCTTACAGAAAAGGAAAGTGCTGATCACATAAAGAATGAAGATCATGGCATTTATGATGAGGATTCTGAAGAAGTAGCCTCTCAACCTGAAGATGAGCCTCAAATGGACTGGAATGAACCTCAGCCTGAAGAGCAGATGGATATACAAGATGACCAGGAAATCTCCAAAGTTGATGAAAGTGAAGCTGATGTGGATTCAGAAACTCACACTGCATCTTCTCTCCCTGCAGCATTTGAAAAAGATGAGACTCCCCAACCAGGCGACAAGTTAGCAACTGGCTGCTCTGACCAAGATGATGAAAGAGATGATACTGATTCTATTGATGGAGGTACTCCAGAAGATGAAAAAGATATTGATGAAACGTTTGATTCTTCACAACAAGCCACTGATACTGATAAACACTTTGACCCATCAACTCCCCACCCAGCCTGGAGTACAACAAGCAACCTGTCACCTCTTGCCCAACCTTTTGATCCAAGTGGTAATCAAGCATTTGATCCCTTTGGTCAACAAGGTGCAAATAACTTCTCTGGAGATAAAAGCCATGATACACCTGGACAGTTCCAAGAATATGAGTCTGGATTTGGAGAAGTACAGTCAAGTGGTGCTTTTGATGGAAAGGCATTTGATCCAACTGAGGAATGGGGTAGGCCAATGAATTTGCCTTCACCACCACCTTTGCCACCAGAAGTAAAGAAATCCAATGGAGTAGCTACAAAAAAACCATTGACAAAATCTCCTAGTACTAGAACAGATAGGAAGTTAGCAGATTCAAGAAAGCCAGAAACTAAAAAAACAACCTCTACATTAGGAAGATCTCCAAAACCCGCTCTTGACCGCAAAGCTGGATTAGCGAAAACTGAGAAACCAGAGAAGAAGTTGTCAAATGGAGATGCTGACATGAAAAGTAAAACTCGCTCAACAGCCAGCAGCTTAGATAAGTCTAAATCCTCCCACTCTACTGCTGAGAAGAAGCCACTGACAAAAACAAGGCCTTCATCGGCTATTTCTGCTAAACTGGAAACAAAGAGTGCAAATAGTACATTAAAAACTGAAACCAAAACCAAACTGTCGTCTGCTAAACGTCCGTCAACAACTACAGGAAGCCGTGCATCCCCTGCCTCCAAAGCTGCTCCTCCTCTGCCTCCACATACCACTTTTTATGTTGACCTTACCTACATACCCAATCATGGCGACCCTACATACAGTGATATTGAATTCTTCAAGAGGATCCGTGCACGCTATTATGTCCTTAGTGCCCTCTCTCCTAACCCCCAAATTTTGAATGCCCTTTTAGAAGCTAAACAGACCTGGGAGGATAAGAATCTCGAAGTTACAGTTATTCCAACATATGATAATGAAACATTAAGGCATTGGATGGGCTTACACAGAGATGAGCTGACAGATTTGAAGATTGATGTGGCACCATCTGCCAGTCGCTGCACAATTCAGTTGCAGGATCATGAGACCAGTTGCTCTGCTTATAGGTTGGAATTCTAATGACCAAATCTCTGCATTGCTGGCTTCAAGTATAGCAGATAGGGAAACCTTTAATGCATACCAAGATGTGGATTCAATAAAACCCTTGGAATTATTCTTTGGGATCGGTCAGTCAAATGTGCCAGTTGCCACTTATAGCATGAGATCCAGCCATGAAAAAAAAAAAATGCTTTTTGCTACACTCACGCCCTATCACAGTCTCTTCTCTTAAAAAAAAAAAAAAAAAAAAAAGTACAAATGGGTCATGAAATTTTTCTTAGTAATATTACTCTGTGCTTTCAAATTAAACTGAAGTAATTTTGGTAAATGTTATTCCCCACCCCCCACATCTTCTGCTATTAGTGGAAGGAAAAAATTCCTAAGACTCTTCCTTTTTTTTCTTTCCTTTTTTTAATGTGCATTACTACTACAACCATGATAACAATATTATATTAATCTTGAAGTATTGCTTGCTATGTTGTCATTTTTTCAAAGTGTTCAATAAACATTCTTTCTGTCCAGTATTGATGTCAAAAAGCTTTCATAATACTTGAAATTTAAATGAACACACACACACACACACACACACACACACACACACACACACACACACAAAAAGATAATTATTGAATTTAATAAAATAATCTTTAAAAAGCGAAAAACAAAATTATTAAAAAATTGTAACCACACATCAGCTGGACATGAGCCAACAGACTTCAAATAGAATCTGGGGAAATTGATGCCTTCTATTTCTTGTACACCAGCTGTTATTTATTTATTTTGTTTGTTCATTTTTTTCCCTTCAATCTTTTTTGTTCTCTTAATTTTCTGCTGCAAACCTGCTGCTACTGTTGTTTTTTGTTTTTTTTTATTATTACATCTCTTATTGATTTGACCTCTGAACATTCTACCAGCCTTTCCTTGTTTAAAGTTTCCTTTAGAAATAATTTCTTTTATTTAACTATTCCAAGACAGTTCTTGGTTAACTTCAGTTGCTTTAAATACAAACATACTCACAAATGCAATATATTCATTCATGGGAACCACTAATAGTGTGTGTGTGTAAGGGGGGGGCGTCTAATTCAATCAGTTAATGCTATCACTTTCCCTCTTCCCACTTCACTAATTTTCTTTATTTTTTATCTTTCTTACCCAGAAACGTCCTCAAAAAAAGTCTTCTGGTCTTTTGATGTTGTAAAACAAAAAGGGGAAAAATTAAAGCTACAAGAAACAAAATTAAATGCCGAGTAAACTCGGTATTGCGTGAAAATTTAAATTGTGATATTTTTGCTATGTGGTGCTTCCGCAGCTGTGTTCTTCGTAACTATTAATTCTAATGGAAAATGAAATAATCAACACTCCTTGACCTGCCTTGCATCTATATATATATATATATATATATATATATATATATATATATATATAAATTTTTTTTTTTTTATGTAACCAAAATCTGGCTACAAGAGGTAAATGTCACAAATCATAAGATTTGAGAAACCTCCCCCACTTGTTTTTTGTTTTTTTTTTTTTTTTTTTTTTCCCCCCTGAGAAAACAAAAAAATCTCAGCCTATTTTGGTTTCATGCATGTAAGAATTTTTTTCTTCCACTCACAACAGTTCATTTAACAAAGACAAAATCAGGAGAATTTTTTTAAACAATAAAGTTTCTAAATCTCCAATTTATTTTTTACTTTATTTAATTTTTTACTTTTTTTTTTTTTTTTTTTTTTTTTCTCCTATCATGTGTCACAATCTAAAGTTTAAACTGTGATAGTAGGAATATTTTTCAAATTTAATAAATAGGCAGACTTTAAGAGTTTCAGACAGCACTTTGGTTTAGAATCATACACCCAAATATAAAAGATTGAGTTTGTTTTTTTTTTTTTTTTTTTTTTTTTTTTTTAAGTTCCCACAATGGGGGTGCTGAAAAAATACAGGACTTTTATTTATTTTTTTTTGTAATATTGCCTTCCCCATTAAAACTTTCCCATTTGTTGAGATTTTTTTTTATCTAAGATTATTTTTCTTTCATTTTATTTTAAATCATTGATTAGGTAATTGTTAATTTCTTTAATGTATCTTTAATTTCAATTTTTATACTTTGCCTTCTTGAAAACGTTCCCTAACTCCTTGTGTAGAACCTTTCTCTTTTGCAATGTACTTTTGTCTGGTGGTGATCTTTCTCTCCCACCCCTTTTATGTTTTGTTGCTTTGCTGAAATAAAATCTGAATCTTTTTTTATTTATTTATCTTAACTTTTCTTTTCCTTCCATTTTTATATGCTTAAGAAAAATTGACACAAATCGAGCATCTTCTCCTTATTTGGTGTCTGCTTTTATTTTTTTTATTTTTTATTTTTATTTTATTTTTTTATTTTTTTTTAAAGAAAAGTATTGTAAAAAAAAAAAAAAAATTTCTTCAAACCTCTCAAAGAAAAAAAAAAAAATCATAGCTCTAAATTTCCTAGCTTTTGGTCTATCTAAACTTTCAATTTCTATGAAAAGTTAGTGATGAAATTTTTAAATTTCTGCCCAGATTTTCTTTCTACAGTTTCATTTAACTAACCATGTTTTATTAAAAAAAAAAAAAAAAATTCTTCTGACATTTACAATCTTTTTACTTGGGTTTAACTATAATCTAAATGTGGATGATGCTGTTAACATATCTTCACTGAATGCCTTTTCTAAGAGTCTGCCATATTGTCTTTAACCTCAGTTAAACTGAAATCCTTCACTAAATCTAAAGATTTAATACTTCACTTCATACCAAATACTTCACCACCAGAAATTAGAAATGTTACGATTCCACTAGTGGGGTAGAGGGAGTTACTCCCAATGGTTTTTAGTCATAAACAATTGGTTTGATTTATTGTAGCCTGAAATATTTCAAACTTCTAAAATTATTGTTTTAGAACTGTCACTTATAAATATTTTAGATAATATTTAGCTCTTTAGTGATTCTGAGACTAGTAACTATAATCTAACTGGTTCTTAGAAATTTTCTTTCTGATGTCCTAAAAATAGGTTTTTTCCTTTTTACTTCCTTAACATTCAACAAAATAGCTTACCCCCAACTTTTTTATTATTATAATAAATATTGTGCAATTATTTTAACTAGAATCTTATTTTTAAATCCTTCAAGTTAGCAAAGATTGTCATCCCTTGGACTCTCCATTTGAATTTTGACAATTTTTCGAAGCTTTGTCAGATTATATTGACAATAGCATAAAACCAACCGGAGGGTGATCTTGCCAATATCACATCAAACAAAATTCTGCTTGTTAGAATAAGGGACATGGATTTGATCTTTGGTTATTCCCTCACCACCACTGAAGGGTTGCAATGAAATGTAGCAATGTTCATTTACAAACAGATAAAGCGGAAAAAAAGTTGTTTAAATTTCATTTAAGTAAGTTAACTATTACAAAGTAGGGAAAATTAAATTCTGAAATGTTTGTCGTAAGGAATGAAAATTTAACAATGATTAGTCTTAACAAATCGGTCAAAATACTGATTACTGAATTTTTTTCTGTTCTGTATGAAATTTCCATTTTTAAATTCCGATTACCTGGTGTTTTTAATCTCCAGTTAAAGTGAATGAGTTTAAATTTTGACTACTTGCAGAATATACATTTTCAAGTGGCCATCTTGTTTTGGTAATAGTAAATATTTAAAACCATAGCTTGTTCCTGAACTTAAATGAAGTGGTTAAGTCGACTTTAACATGGTAAATTTATCACAGATTTTTTTTTTTTTTTTTTTTGTGAGTGTGCCATAAGCATGGCTAATGATCAGCAAGCTCCTTTATTAGATCATTAGTATCAAGTCTTTGTTGGATCCTCCAAACTAAACTTACAAAATTAGTGAATTTTTTATCTTACTACTGAACAACTTAATACAAGTGTTAAAAATTGTCAAATTTTATTCAAGTTTACAGTTTTGCAGTTCTCTATATCTAAAGTGAGATTTACATGCTCATCCTTATTTATCCATATCCCTAACCATTTACAATTTATTCCATATCACTAACCATTTACAATTTATTAAACTAACATTAAATTGTGTCCCTATTATTGTATAGGCCAAACTGATTACCTCTGAACTTAGAAATTGAAACATTAATAAAACTTCAATGTTGCGAGAAGTTTGCTAATGTAGATATTCTGTTTAGAAAGCTCTGTCTATTTGTAACATTCATCTGTAAAATTCATTGACGGAAGGAAATGTACTTTGTATAATGGTTTGAACTTCATTTACAATAATGACCAACACTAAGCAAGTACTAAAACTACAATTTCTACTACAGCAGAGGCTTAGTTTCTGCAATTTTAGAAAAGTTCTCTCAAAAAGCATAATTATTCTGTTTTCTACTGCAACAAAAACATTAGGTTTTTAAGTTAACTCTGGAGCCATTTTACTTGTGTAATTGGCCTTTTTCTTGAAAAAAAAAAAGTCAGTTGAAGAAAATAAAGTGGGGCAGGCAGTAAAAAAAAAACCGCATATATTCCAGCCTTGGTTCAGTTAATGATGTCTTATTTGTTAAGAGGTCTACTTAAACCTTAATACTACTCATTTTAGTTGACTCTTGCTCTTAAAACCAATTCACTTAGTATTGTATCTTTAGAAAAGTATGATTAGCTAGTTTTCCTTGCTTACATCATTCTTTGGTATTGGAATGGTTTCTGAAATTTTTTTAATATATGTTAATTTCTTACTTCCTTTACATTCTGGTAGCTTCTTTAGAACTGAATAAACTTGATTACCTACAAGAAATTTTGGTGTAAGATAATTGGGTTTGCCCTCATGAGACCTTGAGCTTCATAATTTTCTGTCTACCTCTCATGCAATATTTGGCCCATTGTGTGTACATAGTTTCTGAGAAACTCTTAATCATTGAATATTAAATTGTCTTGCTAATTAAAACTTTGCTATTATCAGTGCATTTGTGAATATTTTTTTTCTACATTGTCTTAAATATTGTTAAAGTAGGAAAGTAGTTATTAAGTATATAAGCTATGGCTC